CCCCTGTAGCTGGAGTTACAGGTGATTGTGAATAACCCAACGTGGGTGCTGGGAACTGAACTCTGCAAGTGTGTGTGTGTGTGTGTGTGTGTGTGTGTGTGTGTGTGTGTGTCTTATGTGTGTGAACAACCCAATGTGGGTGCTGGGAACTGGTCCTCTGCAAGAGCAGTACCCACTTTTATGTGCTGAGTGTCTTTTTTTTTTTTTTTTTTTGGAATACAATTGCTTTCCTGATTTCTTTCTCCGAAAACTTGTCATTGGCCTGTGGAAAGGCTGCTGGCTTTTGTGTGCTGATTTTCTGCTGTTTGCTGGAAGTGTCCGTCAGATGAGTTTTCTGGGGGAATCTTAAGTAGAGCTGATAGGGGTCATTTGGCTTCTTTTCCTGTTTGTGTCCTTTTTATTTCTTTTTCTTCCTTCCTTGTGATTCTTTGTCTTTCTTGGCAAGCAAACCTAGCCTGGTGGAACCATGTTGCTGCCTGTGTGCTCACAGGCATTCTCCTGACCCATCATTAGAGTCCCTGTGACAGAGGCAGACACAAATGCTCAGTCCTTGCCAGTACCGCAGCAAGGACCGTGCTCTGTGATTGCTGGGCCATTACTGCTGTCCTCTGAGGCCAGGGAGGCATATGGAGCTCGTCATACAACCTGGGTCACACAACTGGTCAGTGGCACAGCTGAGACCAAACTCCATCGGGCCTCAGAGAGTACAGAGGGAGAAAGTGAGGAGCCATCCTTGTCTATGAACAAGATCCCACTGAAGGGTCATTTGTTCTGACTGATCCCTGTGTTTGGCAATAGGGCTGTTCCAGAGGTCAAGCGCTGAGGCTTCTGGGGACTGATTGTATTCCAGGTCAACTCCCATAGTGCTCCTGGGTGGACATAGGGCAGCCCTCCCTGGGGTGCATTACCCACCCTGGGGGCTCTTCCTGATCTCCTCAAATTGGAAGAGATGTGGGCACTACTCATCTGCGGGGCGAGGGAGACGGGTAGGACTTTGAGCACTCTTCTGACACTCCTGGGGCTCTATGGGGACATTACCACCATAGCCTGATCCCCATCCACAGGTAGAGTCACCAAGCTCCACTCTGCAGCTGGAGAAAAGGAAGACAACCATAGACAGAACTGGGCACGAAGGTTAGGACATGGAGGGAGAGGAAAGATGATTCTGGGGTGACGGTGGGGACTCTGCTGAGGCAGGTAGGAATGAAAGTCATTCAGCCAGGGTGAGGAAATGCCAGAGACAGCCGGGCTTAACGGGTAGTTTAGACATGGTTTTGAGGACTGACTTGGAGTTGCTCTGTAAGGTCTACAACTGGAGGCATCTAGAGGAATTGGGTACAAGAGTGCAAGACTCAGGAAAGATGGCCAAGCAAGAGAGAAAGCCATCTGCATACTCCGGTCATCTGTGTGGAGTGCCATCTGCATGTCGGGGTCATTACATGCAGAGAGCTGTGTCCATGTTGGAGTCATTTGCATGTAGGCGGCCATCTGTGTGTAAGGTCATTTGTATGCAGAGAGCCATGTGTGTGTTTGGGCTGTAACCATGTCCTGGGCCAATGTGCTCTCCCGAGGAGTGGGTAGAGTGGCCGGAAGCCAAGCATGAGTCTTGGCAACGCTAGCAAGATGGACAGAAAGAGTAGAGGATGTCTCTACAGTGTAGGCCAAGAAGAGGTTGGGGAGTCAGGAGCCCCTAAGGATTCCCAGTGAAGGGCTTCTGAAGACAGTCAGGAATCATATAATGAATGTTACCCTGAAGGCCAGCAAGAGTATGGATGGCCATTGATCTCCCATTAGTTACGGGTGGTCTTTAGGGAACTCACTGGGGCGGAAATGGTACTGGGACATGCACTGGAGCTTCTCTCTGAGGTGTGAGGATGGGGTGGTGTGGACACATGCACTGGCTGCTTCCTGAGGTACGGGAATGGGGTGGTGTGGACACATGCACTGGCTGCTTCCTGAGGTACGGGAATGGGGTGGTGTGGACACATGCACTGGCTGCTTCCTGAGGTATGGGAATGGGGTCGTGTGGACACATGCACTGACTGCTTCCTGAGGTACGGGAATGGGGTGGTGTGGACACATGCACTGACTGCTTCCTGAGGTACGGGAATGGGGTGGTGTGGACACATGCACTGACTGCTTCCTGAGGTACGGGAATGGGGTGGTGTGGACACATGCACTGGCTGCTTCCTGAGGTACGGGAATGGGGTGGTGTGGACACATGCACTGGCTGCTTCCTGAGGTACGGGAATGGGGTGGTGTGGACACATGCACTGGCTGCTTCCTGAGGTACGGGAATGGGGTGGTGTGGACACATGCACTGGCTGCTTCCTGAGGTACGGGAATGGGGTGGTGTGGACACATGCACTGGCTGCTTCCTGAGGTACGGGAATGGGGTGGTGTGGACACATGCACTGGCTGCTTCCTGAGGTACGGGAATGGGGTGGTGTGGACACATGCACTGGCTGCTTCCTGAGGTACGGGAATGGGGTGGTGTGGACACATGCACTGGCTGCTTCCTGAGGTACGGGAATGGGGTGGTGTGGACACATGCACTGGCTGCTTCCTGAGGTACGGGAATGGGGTGGTGTGGACACATGCACTGGCTGCTTCCTGAGGTACGGGAATGGGGTGGTGTGGACACATGCACTGGCTGCTTCCTGAGGTACGGGAATGGGGTGGTGTGGACACATGCACTGGCTGCTTCCTGAGGTACGGGAATGGGGTGGTGTGGACACATGCACTGGCTGCTTCCTGAGGTACGGGAATGGGGTGGTGTGGACACATGCACTGGCTGCTTCCTGAGGTACGGGAATGGGGTGGTGTGGACACATGCACTGGCTGCTTCCTGAGGTACGGGAATGGGGTGGTGTGGACACATGCACTGGCTGCTTCCTGAGGTACGGGAATGGGGTGGTGTGGACACATGCACTGGCTGCTTCCTGAGGTACGGGAATGGGGTGGTGTGGACACATGCACTGGCTGCTTCCTGAGGTACGGGAATGGGGTGGTGTGGACACATGCACTGGCTGCTTCCTGAGGTACGGGAATGGGGTGGTGTGGACACATGCACTGGCTGCTTCCTGAGGTACGGGAATGGGGTGGTGTGGACACATGCACTGGCTGCTTCCTGAGGTACGGGAATGGGGTGGTGTGGACACATGCACTGGCTGCTTCCTGAGGTACGGGAATGGGGTGGTGTGGACACATGCACTGGCTGCTTCCTGAGGTACGGGAATGGGGTGGTGTGGACACATGCACTGGCTGCTTCCTGAGGTACGGGAATGGGGTGGTGTGGACACATGCACTGGCTGCTTCCTGAGGTACGGGAATGGGGTGGTGTGGACACATGCACTGGCTGCTTCCTGAGGTACGGGAATGGGGTGGTGTGGACACATGCACTGGCTGCTTCCTGAGGTACGGGAATGGGGTGGTGTGGACACATGCACTGACTGCTTCCTGAGGTACGGGAATGGGGTGGTGTGGACACATGCACTGGCTGCTTCCTGAGGTACGCTGACTTAAGAGTTCCAGTTTGGAAACTCCCTGTGTGCCCAGGAACTGTGGAATGGGGAAATGAGTTCAGGTGCAGGTGAACTGTGGAACTGTATATAGCCAAGAACTTTCACAGTAAGAAGAATGAATTGTAAAAGCATTGTTAAAGACAGAAGCAGAAGAATCCAGCACTGTCATTCTGGTCAGTGTTGGAAACAGTGAAATCAATCAATCCAACTTGAGATTCTGTGGTGAACAACAGCTACCATGTTCTGGTTCTGATCCCAACCGATTCCCATGAGGAATACCTTATTGACGGTCCTCTGAGTTGCATGCATCTGGTTCACACACATACTACACATGCGTAATAATGTAACAAACTCTGTAACAAACTCAGCAGGCAGAGAATGTTCCCTGCCAAGCTGTCCCCACAGCCTCAGACATGCATGGTGGTGAAGGTCTTGGGTTCGGGTAGGACCTGCATTTGAATCCCAGCTTTGTGACCCCAGTAGGCCACTAGACACTTGTGGGTCTCAGGCTCATGCCTAGCCAGTGCTCTGTTATGCTTCTTTCTGAAGTTAGCATGGGTCACCTCTCCAGGCTCCCTTCCAGAGGCCTGCCCTTCTCAGCAATGGCCACAAAGGAGCCCTTGCTTCCGGATTCTCTGTGTAAACCCAAGGGACCAGTGGCACCTCTGATCCCACTTTCTCATGCAGGCTTACCTTTCCCGTGTGTTGGTACAGAAGACATGTGCTCCTCATGGGATAAAGAGTGGATGGGAAGAGATTTCTGGAGAGTTTTCTCTGGCTAGCTCTTGATCCCCTTGACTCAGCAACATGATTCCACAACCCACTGTCTGCCTCTCTTCCACCTTGTGGTCAGCATCTTCATGTCAGCAACCCAAGGTCTACCTCGAAGGTGCTGTTTACACCAAGGGATTGGCAAACCCTGCCAAGAACCAGTTATATATTACCACCCCTCCGTGACCAGTCATCCTTAAGTTTTAGATTCTTCTGAGCAACCACAGCCAAGAACCATTGGCCTACATTGTCCCAGGTCAGGCCTAGCAAGGTGCGTGTTCACCAACGATAGTTGTCAGTTACCCAGCCCTAACATCATAAGTCACTAACGTGAGTTAGGTCCCGCACATCCTGTGGAGGGCAGTTATCCCCCTTTCCCATGTGGTGAAACTGAGGTCCAGATGGGTTGTCTGGGGCCTTATTAACTACCACAGTGCTAGTGCCTGAAGGTGGATTCAAACCCAGTCCTGAGCTGCTAGGACTGGAGTCTGGTGTGGCTGTAGTCAGTGCTCGAGTCATGTTCTTGTTCAAGATGACCCCAGGTCCTGAGCCTGTGATGCTCAAGTCAGCGGTGTCAGCATGGAGTCGGAGGTTATCACACGGGGTTGCAGTGGGAAGTGTCCATCCAGCCTAGGTCAGGCACGTGGACAGAGGAAACCAGACACTGATGGGTGTTTGTGCTGGTGTGTTTTCTCCCCTCTCCAGTGGAACATGACAAAGAATTCTTCCACCCACGCTACCACCATCGGGAGTTCCGCTTTGATCTTTCCAAGATCCCAGAAGGGGAAGCCGTGACCGCAGCTGAATTCCGGATCTATAAGGACTACATCCGGGAACGCTTCGACAATGAGACCTTCCGGATCAGCGTCTACCAGGTGCTGCAGGAGCACTTGGGCAGGTGGGTGCTGCATTGGTGTGGGAGCAGATGCTGGGCTTCCCGTGATAGCCGACGATGAGGCAGGTGGTGACAGGGCCAGCCCTGGTGGCTTTCCATCAGGTCCTGGGCCAGATGACCATCTTAAAGAAGGCGTGTGATGTGTTCCCCTAAACTTTGACCATGTGAGAATCTGGGGCAGGACTGTCAGCAGGCCAGGAGATGTGGGGGCTGTGCCACCCTGAGAAGGCGTATATGGATGGTCTGGGTCTGGTGGTGTGGAAGGGAGGGATGGGGAGGCACTGGTGTTGATGGTGTCCTCCCTTCCATCTACCACCCTGAATCCCAGATGATGTCAGACAACCAGTGAGAACAGGCATTTATAATGAAATGCTGAGGGAGGAGAAATCCCAAACCAAAAGCAAATAGACAGAGAACTCTCAGCCTTCCAAGAATCACTCGGTCAGGAACCAAGAGTTTGTTGTGAAAGACTTTAATTTCTAGAGACCCTCTAATTTCAGGGTCTAGTGAGAGGTAAGGAGACTCAGAATGGTGGATGACCAACTGTCCCTCAAATACATCCCACAGTCCCAGGTGGCACTGCCAAGGTCATCTGTCCTGTGGCTGGGCATTGACACTCCAAGCTTGTGAGACTTCTGTTGTCCGCACCGCCCCCCAAATGCTGTGGCATGGAAATTGGTAGAAGATGATTAGTCCTCACTGTCCAGCTGGGAAGGGGACTCGTGACCACAGAGACTGGGGAGCCCTGGCCTGGGTATGGCTGCTTTGTGGGTCATCTTGCTGAGAAAACAGAACTTCTGTGGAGCATTTGCAGTGTCTCCCACACATACGCCATTTCACAGACACGGTAGCACCCTGAGGTGACCTGTGGGGGAAATGGATAGCATTGAAGCCATCTGAAGCCACCGTGGGAGGCTAGTCCAAGACAACATGGCCATGTGAGGACTTGGCCCAGGTTTGTAAAGATGGAGCCAAGGCCTGTGAAAAACATTTCTGTTAATTTGGTTTTGAGATGATGTTGCCTGTATAGGCCTGCCAGCCCACAGGCTGAGGCAGGAGGATTACAAGACCTGTCTTGCACAGTGAGGTCATGGCCAGCTCGGGCAACTTAGTGAGCCCTGTCTCACACTGAAAAGGACTGGAGGTGTAGCTTAGTGGTAGAGCACTTGTCTAGAGTACATGAGGCCCAGTGCCGTAAGGGAAAAAAAAAATGGTTTTGGATAAACAAGATATGCTTCTGGAATAGACCTGAAAAGTTAGAGCAGTAACTGCTGTAGAATTTGAAGTCCTCAGTCCCTGTTCCTGAGGTGGCCTTGACTCCTGGCTTCTTCAGTTCCCTCATCTGTGCATTCTGTATCTACACATGGAAATGAACACCTACTCTCGCCTGCTTCTAGGCCAGTATAATTCACTTAACAGCTCCTATGCGGACTCTTCTAGTCCACATGTAGTTCCCATGAGATGGATTGTGTTGTGAGGTGTCTTACCTGTTGCCCGTGAGTGTGTGTTAGCAGCCCTCTTCCTGCTGTGGTGGACAGCACTGTGAGGGTGGTCTCTGTGACATTCCTTAGCATGTCTGCCTAAAGTTCTAGAACTGTGGCTGGAACACACACACACACACACACACACACACACGGTTTTGGCAGATGTCACTGGGCTGCCCCCACCAACCAGGGAGAAGAGACATCTGGTCCCCATGCACTCACCAAGGCCCCTTACCAACCTGTTTTGATCTTTGTCAGTCTGATGGCAGACAGATGGCATCCTAGTGTGGCTTCAGTTTGTGTTTACAACCTGCCCTGCACCAAGGGCTAGTCACATGACTTCCCTGCTAGAGGGTGGTGCACTAGGTGGCCAGGGCCAGGTACACGAAGGAGCTGGGTGGCCGGGAGGAGGGGGAAGCAGCTAAGCTAATAAATCTGACTCTTCCCAGAGGCACTCAGGTGTACCATGGGCCTTGCCTTGGTCCTCGGGCCCAGCCTTATGAGGAGCTGAGTTCATCTTTGAGAGTTTCAGTGCTTGTGCTCTGTGAGGGCATCCTTGCTCCAGGATTATTATTTGTTTTACAGTGCCTAGGGTTGGATCCAGGTTCTCAATGTGCTGGGCAAGTGCTCTACCACAGATCTACCTCCTACCCCCAGTTCCTAACCCTTAGGAGTCTTAACCATGTTTGATCTTTCTTGACGGCTGATGACTTGAGGTGAGCTGGGCACCCAGAGGCTGTTTGCCAACAAGTGGGGCAGTCTGCTTGTGCCAGCCTTGTGCTTCCTCACTGCCCAGGGTTCCTGGCAGGCTCCCAGACCTGCCTTGCAGGAAGCCACATTGAGAGGCCTAACTTGAGGAATGTGGTGGCTTCCAGCGGGTCTGGCCCAGCCACCTGGAGGGGTGACTGGCCAGGTTCACACTCCTTTCATAGCTCTCCCTGTGGGAGTGAATGCTTTCCTAGTAGCTGGTAGCCATTAGGTCTGGAGGTCACTTCTGACACAGAGTCCCTTTTACCCAGCATCCCACTGCCCATCACTCCAAACCTGTGTACAGTGCCCTATAGAAGGAGCTAAAGGCTTAGGGACCCACAAGCAGAACCAGGCTGCCCTCAGAGAGGTCAAGGCCATGACATAGGTGAGAGGGGTTTCTGTGATTTATCAGCCACCTTTGAGTGCCCTCATACTAGGCGCTGTTCTCAGAGGTCAGACAGTAGGAACAGATGAGGGAGGCCTGAAAGAGCAGGGGCCTCGTCTGAAATTTGGGTTAGAGTACGTCTCAGTTTCCTAGGATGACATACCAAAGTTCCATATGCAAGGTGGCTCAGAGCAGTAGGAATGGATTATCTAGAGGCTGCAACTTCAGAGGCTCAGACAGTGGGACTGTGTTCCCACTGAAACCTGTATGGTGTATGCATGCATGTGTCTCTGTCTCTCTCTCTGTCTCTTTCTCTCTCTGTGTCTGTCTGTGTCTCTGTCTCTCTCTCTGTCTCTGTCTCTTTGTGTCTCTGTGTCTCTGTCTCTCTCTCCATTCAGTCTCTCGTCACATGGCCTTGGTTCTCCCACTGTCTCACATGGGCTGAGGGGTCTACCCTACTCTTCTGGGAGCTCAGTTAAGCCATTATATCTGCAGAGATGCCATTTCCAAATGTTTGTTCCATTGGCAGGTGCTGGGCCTTAGGACTTGACTTACTTTGGGAAGACCCAGTTCCCATAACTGGGTGAAGAGATGTCCGTCCCAGAACAAATGAATAGAGAAGCTAATGGCTTGGGCTGTTGGGAAAAGGGAGCAGCATAACAGATGTCCATTAGGTGGGGTTGATCACTAATGTCTTTGTAGAGCTGGGAACGTTCAAGTGACCAGAGGCTCTGTCAGTGGAATGCAAGGGAAGAGTGTCTCTGGGGAATCACAAGAGCCGAGGTCCTCTGGTCACATGAGACGGGACAGAGAGATGCTGCTGCTGCCAGGTCGGAGTGAGCTCCTAAGAGCTTGCATAGAAGGTGGGCCTTTGGGCAGATGCTTTCCTGGGGGTTCCCACCTCACTGCCAGGACCTCCTCCCTGTCCTGACTGGGTTAACCTGCCATCCCAGTATAAGGAGCTGCCTCTCAGACCCTCGCTGAGATCCAGGGGTGGATCCTGGTACTTGCAGGAAGCAAGGAGGCCTGAGTTGTCATATTTGTCAGAGGGAGATATGGTACAGGAGTCCTCAGCTCCCAGGCAGGCTGGTGTTATAGGTGGCTACGTGCTGAAGGCCCCCTTTGGGAGGCTCCTGGGACAGGAACAAAACCAAAACCAGTGCCAGGTCTGCCCTCTGGGAGCTCCTGGCTGAATAGAAGAAGGGACATGCATCAGTGGGGACCCAGCAGGTAGATGTGTATGCCAGGGAGAGGCAGAGTTGAGAGGCACCAGGAAGGGGACACGGTGGGCTGTTGAATGTTCTTCCTGAGCCCGAGAGACGGGCAGTGCACCCTTCTCCAAAAGCTAAAACTTTAAAACACTGTATTTGCCTTCTGGGTTGCTTTCTAACTGCTCCTCTAGGTGGGCTAACCCAACATTGTGAACATGGATTCAAATCCTACCACAGGTACAGCGTGACACTGGGAAGTTGTGACCTCAGTATGAAAGGAAGATAATCAGCCCCCCTCCCTCAGGGTTGTGGGTTGGGTAAGGGAGTTCAGGTTCTTAGAACAGTGCCTGCCAGGTAGTAACTGTTCACTGAATGTTCAGGAACAGACTCTCTACTCTTTATTGCTGGAAAGACAGAGACCTTAGGAGAGTGGAGCACCAAGCTTTCACTTTTCTGCCCTCTCTGGGCTTTAACTGCTGAATGCTTCAATGCTGCAGTTTTCCCTGGGGACATAGGCCTGGGCTGGACAGAGGTAGATCGCTCCTTTGCATGGCCCAACTGCATCTTCTTCCATTCCAGGAGCCCAGGGTCCACCCCTCCCCCACCAGCCCTGCAGCCACCCTGGCCTCTGTGCTCTGAGAACTGTGATCCTGCTGCCACCAGTCACCCAGCTGTGCAGGGCTGGGACATCTGGCTGGCTGGCAGTCTCTGCTGACGCTCCGGGGGTGCTGGGATTAGCCAGCTGTGGGCTGGCCTCAGCATCTCTCCCCTGTGGGAGTCACTTTCCACCAAGTCCTCTTGATCTCTTGGAATCCAGATTAAATTCCGATAATGAGCCGAGCTGGAGGCCTTCCCTGGGTTGTGCCTCAAGCCAAGCCCCAGACAGCTAGGAAGGCTGGAGAGGCATGCCAGAGCTGCCCTTGGCCTGCTGTGTGAGAACAGGGGCACAGAGGTGGGCCTGGGGATGGTGACCTGGGTCTAGAGGACTTGCTGGGGTCAAGGGAGGAGGGATTGGGAGTTAGCCTCATTTCCTGAAGCCAGGCCAACCCAGCTTCCAGGACCTGGCCTTGTTTCTGTCCCTGTGGGTTCAAACTGCAGTTCCAGTAGAAGGGGTCGCACTGGGTGCCCATCCCAACCTTTCCTCTTCCTGGGAGTTTCCAGGCTTCTCCTGTA